AATAATCGCGCGGGTGAACGATAAGATAACGTGTAGCAGAGTCTCCAAACCTGTAGAGGCGCTGTAGAGACGCAGACATTTTTACTCGTTCACCCGCGCGATTATTTTGAATAGACAATAATTTTGAATAGACAATTTTTTTGAATACACAAGGCCAGTAACTGAATCTAACTCACTTGTTGTGGTGATGAAGCCACTCTGACCAAATTCGCGTTTACCGTAGTAATTGGTTGTTGTTTTTGAACTGTTTGTCCGCTTGGCAAATCAGAGGACTGGCCGGGCGGTCTCGCAAGAATAGGCTGAACATTCGGACCAGTTTGCTGGCGGGGAGGCTGAAAAAAAGTAATGAAGAAGGAGTTAAAATAGAAAAACCGGAAAACGGACGAAGTTTAAAGATCTTCAAATCGTAACATGACTTTTCAATGATTTCAACTCATTCTTTTAATTAAAAAAAAAAGAAAATCAGAACTCAGTGTCGAAAAATCTGAGGGCCGATGTGAATGAAAATCTTGATTTTTTTAAGATAAAGTATCAGTTACATAATATAACTCACCTGTTGTTGTTGTTGTTGTTGTTGTTGTTGTTGTTGTTGTGATGGAGACACTCTGACCAAATTCGTGTCTACCGTAATGATTGGTTGTTGCTGTGGTCGTTGTTGAACTATTTGCCCTTTTGACAAATTAGATAACTGACCAGGAGATATCGAAATAATTGGCTGAACATTTGGACCGATTTGTTGGCGAGGAGGCTGAAAAAGGGAGTAAGGAAGATGGAATAAAAATAGAAAATCCGGAAAACGAAACCAAGTTTCCAGGTTTGGAAGTATGCTTAATTTTTTTCGATTATTTTCCGCGAGAAAATAGAAAACGTTGCTTTTCCAGATTTTGAAGCAAGGAACTGTATTTCTTCTTTCAATCTCATAGTCAGAACACTCGTTAGGGTGTTCTATAGCTCGAAAATTATCCATTATTTAATTTGGAACTCAATTTGGGACTCGAATTGCCGATCTATCCAACCCAACACAGTTTTTTTGAATTTAAAAAGAAAAATCAGAATTCAGTGCCGAAAAAGTTTAGGTTTGGATCCATGATGTGAATGAAAATCGTGATTTTTGTGTATACAAATTCAGAAAAAATATAACTCACCTGTTGTTGTGATGAAGCCACTCTAACCAAGTTCGCGTTTACCGTATTAACTGGTTGTTGCTGTTTTTGAACTATTCGACCACTTGGCAAACTATAGGCCTGGCCGGGAGATCTCGCAAGAATCGGCGAAATCTTTAAACCGATTTGCTGGCGAGGAAGCTGAAAAATGAAAACGTATAGTGCATTAGACCATAAAAAGATTTTCTCAAAATCTAAACTGATTTGAAGAGTTGAAGAAAATTTATTAGGGGTTTTGGCACAAAAATACAATATGTATGGAAATCGTGATTTTTGTGTATACAATTTCGGTTAAAAAAATGTAACTCACCTGTTGTTGTGATGGAGCCACTCTGACCATACTCGCATCTACCGTAGTAACTGGTTGTTGTTTTTGAACTGTTTGACTCTTTAAGAAATCAGTTCCTTGGTCGGGAGCTCTGGCGAGAATAGGCTGGTCATTTGAACCAGTTTGCTGGCGAGGATGCTGAGAAAAGTTATTTTATTGTGCTTTCACTAATATGAAAAGTTAAAAAAATTGGGATTTGACTCGCTTTTCAAGATTTTTAGGGAAACAAATGTATATCCTCTCTCAATTTTAGGACCCTCTTAAGTAAGTTCAACATGTATTTTTCAAAGATTTCAGACTTATCAAACACGAAATTACGCAAAAAAAGGAAAACCAGCATCCAGTGACGAGTAATTTGATAATGTGAATGGAGATCGTAATTTTTTTGTATATGCAACTTCAGGAACAAAATTTAACTCACCTGTTGTTGTGGTGGAGCTACTCTAGCAGAACTCGCGTCTACCGTAGTAACTGGTTGTCGTTGTTGAACTGATTGCTCGTTTGATACATTAGCCGTCTTGCCGGGAGTTCTAGCAAGAATAGGCTGAATATTTGGACCGACATGCTGGAGAGGAGGCTGAAAAAAGTAAGATTATCGTGTTTTTATTAGACGACAAAAAGATTTACTCGAAATCCGAACTGATTTGAAAAGTTTTTTGTTTAATTTGGGGGTTTTACACAAGAATGAATGAATGTGAATGGAAATAGTGATTTTTTGGATACAGTATCAGTAACAAAATATAACTCACATGTTGTTGTGATGGAGCCACTTTGACCAAATTCGAATCCACCGTTGTAATTGGTTGTTGTTTTTGAGCTGTTTGATCGTTTGGCAAATTAGAAGACTGGCCGGGAGCTCTCGCGAGAATCGGCTGGATACTTGGACCGGTTTGCTGGTGAGGAAGCTGAAAAAAGTAAATCTGAAAGTTTTTCGAAAAATTAGAGTTCTTGACACAATTTAAAATCAAGTTGGTTCTTTTCCGCGAGAAATGCATAAGTTAGGGTTGGATGATGTGAATGGAAATCGTGATTTTTTGGTCCATTTCAAAAGAAAAATATAACGCACCTGTGGTTGTGGTGGAGCCCCTCTGACCGAATTCGCGTCAACCGTAGTACTTACTAGTGCTTTTTCGATAACCCTGATTTGCCGGTCTATGGTGTCAGTTTTATCTTTATAAACCTGCCAATTCGACTTCTTGTTCATTTCTTCCCCAGATGATCCCTTCCTCATCTGATCTTCAATAGTCTTCATATTGAATAAGTACTTCGCTTTATTAATATTGAGAATTTGTAGAAGGCGTGTTGGTTGGAACCCTTTGAAAAATTCATGAATCTCGTCATCATTGGCTTTTGAATAGTCAGTTATATCTCCGCTTGGATATTCGTTCAGAATTCTCCGTTTGTCCCCCACCGAAAATTCTGCATAGAGATGACCAAATCTGTCTTTTTCCAATCCTTGATTTTGTTCGGGATGAGGTGGACGAGAGGTGGTCGGATTGAGTATAAGACGATGAGGAGGGATTCTCGAGGGAGGAAGATCTTCATAAGAAACCATGCTGGAAACCTTCGAAAGTGGAACATTTTTCATTTTTTGCTGTGGATGGAGAGGAGCTGGTTGAGGCTGAAGTTGCTGCCGTTGTTGCTGTTGATGCGTCTGTTGTCCTTGCCGTTGAGAATTCGGGAGAACTAGACGGATCGGCTGCTCTTGTCGTTGTGGTGGGCTGAGAGGAGCTGGTTGAGCGTGAAGTTTTTGCTGTTGTCGGTGTTGATCTTCCTGTTGAATTGCCTGGATCGGCTGCTGTTGCCGTTGTGAATTTGGGAGAACTACAGAATTCGGTTGATGGTGTAGTTGTGGTGGGCTGCGAGGATCTGGTTGAGGCTGCAGTTGCTGGTGTTGTTGGAGTTGATCTTCATGTTGGATTGGGTGGATTAGTTGTTCTTGCCGTTGTGGATTCGGAAGAACTAGACGAATCGGCTGAATTGGCTGATCTTGCCTTTGCGGTGGCTGGGGAGGAACTTGTTGAGGCTGAAGCTGTTGCCGTTGTTGGTGTTGATTTGTCTGCTGGATCGGCAATTGTTGTCGTTGAGGAATCGGTAGAACTAGACGAATCGGTTGTCCTGGTCCTTGTTGACAGCGCAGAAGAGCTTTTTGAAGCTCCCTTTGTTGCCGTTGTTGATATCGATTTCTCCGCTGAATCGGCTCATGCCGTGGTCGTTGTGGTGGCTGCACTTGCTTTGACTGTTGATGATACGCATTCAATTCCATTCCATTAAGATTCTGTTGGATAGAAGCTGGAATGGTAGCTTTTATAGTAGGTGGAGCTACGACTTCTTGTCCAGAATTTCGGACCACTGGAGAAGCATTTGTAAGTACATTGACATAATCAATGTCCTCAATGTTTCGATGAGCAATTACGGAACCGATCGGAGCTCTGGTAGTCTCTGGTGCGGCTTGGATTCCATTCAAATCATCAGGGTTTCCATGAGACCTTTGTGGGCTGGGTTGTTTTCTTTCTTCTTCTTGCCTCTTTCTTGCTTCATCGAACTTCTTCTTGGCTGGATCCGTTTCTACAATACTCACATTCAACAATACATGTGGCATGTATATGTCTTTGTGTGCAAGTTCTCGAAGAGTAGTGGTACCATTCACTGAGCGCTTTGAGGCTGGAGATACAGCCATTTTCATAACGTCTTTTGGAATGTTTAACTTTTCCATCAACACTTCCGCAACTTTATCCATGTTGTATACTGCGGAGATTGCGATATTCATCTCAAGCGGCTTACTCTCGTTCTTCGCATTCCATGGGAAACGAATGAAACACATAATTAGGTCTCGTTGGGTGAACGGGCTGATCAGGGCATTGCTGAAAACGTTTTTAATTTTTTGGAGTTTATCCATTTAATATACTGTAGTGGGCGAGAGAATATTTATCAAATAATCAGGAAATCACAAACGTTTTTGGGTTTCTTTAAAAAAAACTTTCAAAAAAAAGTCTCTTATCTGATTTACGAGCTTGGAATGTTCTAGAAACCAGTAATTTTTCAGGATGTCTTTGATTCTTTGATTATTTTTCTACCGTAAAACCTGTAATAGATGGACCCCTAACTTATAACTTTGAGCCAATTTATCTCCGTTCCTGTCAAAGAAATAAAAAAGTTGTCAACTGATAAATTGTTTATCATACTATCAAGAATATTTCATCAGTTGACACATTTTGGATATTTCGCACAAGAACCGAGATAGATCAATTTGAACTTGGTAGTGTTTGGGCCCTTCTATTACAGGTTTTATGGAAATTTGAGTTATAAAAAAAATTAAAAACTTACTCAAACGACTTCTCCGTTGCTTCTGATAAGCTTAAAATGTAAGACCCTGTTCCATAGGGAATCAACGAATTTGGTGCATCTGGCTTCGGCTTCGCTTTAGTTTCGTTCCGTCTCAGTTCGTTTTCTGGTTCGGGAGTCAGACGACGTCGTCTTTTGAAGGTTACCTTATCTTTGCCTGTGCCTTGGGTTTGTGCTGGGTACATTCCCCTGAAACTAATGAGATGTTTATCATACTAGAGTTTAAAGAGAAATGTTGAGTCCAGTCATATTTGGAAGGAAATCTCAAAAAAGGAAATCTCCCAAACATGTTCAGCGAAAACGTTTTCTGTTAGCAAATTGTATATTTTGTTTTTGGCTCCAATGATTATATGTATTTTTTTTAAATTCAAGGTTTTAAAAAACCTACTCCAACTCTTCCCGAGAAAGCATGTCATCGGGTTTCGAAGCTCTTTTCCTCCCCCTTGATGTTCTTCCACTCATCCTGGAAGTTGTCAGGTGGAGGATCGAATTATCACAAAAAGTGTTTTTACCCTGAAAATTTAGATGATACTTAAATTGATAGAGATAGAAATCAGAATATAGAATGCGATATGAAGAGAGAAGGGGATAGGAGATGAACCAATTTAGAGGCGGGAAGAGAACAGTTAAAGGAGGCCAGACACCAAAAAAAAAAGTTTTCCTGATTTTTTGCATAGACTACCCCCATGAGGGGTTGAACTCATGACAGGCAGCTCAGGGGTACAGCGCCGCTACCGGCTGAGCTACGGGGGCGCGAAGGCGCCTGGCGACCGATGGTCTACATAAGCGCGGCGCGATTTTGTCCCCCGAACTGTCCCCCGAAATTTTTGCTGTCTCGCCTCCTTTAATGAAGAAGAAGGACGAAGAAGAGAAGTGACCTCTCACAGAATAAAAAACGTTCCATTGAAAGGCTTTCCCATATAAGCCATTATTTGCTTAATTGGGTTATCAGTTGGAGAGTCATCACATTTAGATTCTTTGAACTAAAACATTTTGATCATGATATTAATTGAAGATTTTTATAAAAGAAGAATAAATCTACTTCAATCTGTTGTTTTCCCAGTCCTATTGAGCTTTGACCCCGTAATAGTAAGTCTAATGAGCTGGAGAACATGATGTTATCATAGAAGTCTAAAAATCATAGCTGACTGAACGCGAGAACATATCATAAACACACTGATAGAACGTCACCCTAACTTTCAACTTTGAGTCTATTCATCTCGGTTACTGTGAAAGATAACAAAAAGTGACCAACTGACAAAATATTTTTGATGTTACGATAAACATTTTGTCAGTTGGCTTCTTTTTGATATTTTTCCCAGGGAATGAGATATATAGTCTCAAAGTGGACGACCTATTTGAGTGTTTACGGTAACAATAGGCTAATAACTTTCAAAAGTGAAATAAAATTATAGGTCAAATTTTCAATTCAAAAATACAATAAACAGATTTTAAAAATTCAAATAAAGAACAATTGCACCTCTACAGATCCATTATCTCATTTGTCCCCAGAGACCCTAAATGGGATAACCCCTCTGTTGAATAATCAATGAGCGATAATTGTCTCTATATTGATTTTTTTGAAACAGTGTTTTTCAAAAACGAGAGAATCAAGGAGCATCGTAAACGGATGATTTGCGACCCAAAAATCTGAGAATCCTAAAGTGTTATATTAGCTAATATGGAAAGTCAAATCAATAATGTATGCTTGTATTTAGAATAATTAAACTGTAGATCCAGATTGTAGTATGAGAAGGGCAATCTTAGATTTAAATCCGATTGAGAAATATAATATTATTGGAAGTAGGAAAATGTTTTTTTGCAAAAGCGAAGGAATGAGGGAAAATGCTTGGGTGCTACAGAACGAAACAAACCAGTGAGGCAGGGCAACAGCCAAAGGCAGTATCGACGAGAGAAATCGAGAAATAGAGAGGCGCAGAGATAAAACCAGGGTACAGAGGGGACAACAACCTGCCACCAATGAGAACCAAGCCACGCCCATACGTCATTGCCTCTAGGGTGAATGGGATGCACGACGGAAGGGTGTCCTACACCTACAGTATCCATGAATGCCTGCCTTCCATTACCCTCGTTTCCCCTAACGATTATCGACGATGCGAGGAGAAGAAGAGAAAGGAGAGCGGGGAAGAGAGCGGAGTTCTGCATGAATAGGGGCAGAGAGTTAGAAGACGAGGGAAGAGAGCATCGCACGGAAAGAGACGGAACCGCGACTCTCGGAGCAATGTCGACTCCTTTTCAATCGATCAATCATAGAGTAATGATATGTTTAGAGAGGGATCCATCCTCTCGTTGACAGCAAGCTGTAAGGAATAAGTGAGTTTCGATTCTACCGTAACCCTCATAAATAGGCTCCGCCCACACTATTCTCTGCGCTCCCCCGCTTTTGAACACTATTTCCCCTCATTTCGATTCAGTTTTATGTGCATGTGTGTTTGTAAATAAATGGTGAGACGGAGAGCGGACGGCACCAGGCGCGCATATATATTTTGAAGGCGCAAAAAAAAGATAGAGAGATAGAGAGACGCAGAAGCAGAGGCAAACATAAAGTAAGAGAAAGAGAACGCGGGCCCCAACGTTCGTGTTGTTTTGTGTGGATGGGTGACGAATAATTGAAAAGAGAGAGGATTCACAATGGGAGTGGGGATACGGTAATTGAGTTAAAGTGAGGAAGAGGAAGCGAAAGATATCCTGGACGCATCCTTTAATTATTTGGGGTTTTGAAGTGTTTTATTTGGAAATTGAAGAGGGATGAAGTGATTATGACGTATGTCGGATATGGAGGATTACGGTAGATTAGTTATGATAACTGGCTATTGCTGAACGTTTTTAAAGGTCCTCTGGGAAGTTGCTGAAAGTTTCAGTGCTTATACTTAGTTTGGTCGTCTATGACAGGAATAACTAGCAACTGTATAAATCAGAAAGCTGAAAATCTTCGTCTAAAAAATTATTTTTTCATCTTATGCCACCGAAGCCAGTTTTGGGTCCACAAGTTCAACTCCTCAAGGGGCGTTTATGAACGGAATTTTAATAGTTTTTCAAAATGTCCATCTGATTTCATGACCTAAAATTTTTCATCATGTATAATCTATACTCGATTACTATATCTTCCTTTTCCTGCTATCCTCCTGGAAATTGTCAACATGCGTTCCTTTATGAAAGGTGAGCAGCGGTGATTAATTATTTGGTTGATACACGAGATTATGTCAACTGAGAAGACCGAAGAGTATTTCTTTTCTGGGTTGCTTCTAGGTATATGGTAAACACAAACCTCACAAAATGCATAATCTAAATGACTGCAATTCTGATGAACATTAATGCATGGATTACTGTAGATGAACTTTTCCAAGAACCATAATACGATATAATTATGATTATTATTTTTAGAATATATGATGATAGGAAACCCTTTTCTCTTTTAATTTAATTTTTTCTCTTTTAATTATGATTATTATTTTTAGAATATAGGATGATAGGAAACCCTTTTCTCTTTTCAGGCAAAGATTTTTGTAGAAATCAGGATAGATTACTGTAGGAACTATTCTTTACAAAATTCATTGTATTTGCTTCAAACATTAAAAATCCAAACATAACCCAAGAAGGGACGTCAGAAACCTATCCTAGACACTGATTAGAATTTTAAAAATTTTGAATATCTTAAATCGTGTTATAGATCGTCGTCTCAATTACGTATTTTAAAGTCGCATGTGAACAAAAACATTGGAAACTGTAATTTGAACACTTTTGTAGAGAACCGTATCCTATAGATAATATCGTAATTCAATATGGGGGAGAAGGTCCACTAGGATTTGCATGCATGTTGCCGTTGGCGAGAACTACGATAGGTTACTGTATTAATACTTTTTTTTCAATTTTAGGTTCCTACAAACATTTTGACAGTGCCAGTTGTAATCCGAACATCAACAAGTTTATGGAATTTTAACTGAAAAGCAACTAATTGCCGAAGGGCCCCCACACTCTCAATATTGACCTGTTTTTTCTGGCTCTGCTTCAAAAATGTGTGTCAACTTTCAAAAACTTTTGAAGTTCTGATAAATAGTTTATCAGTTAACAACGGTTGAGTAAATTTTCTTGGAAGCGAAAAAAATTAGCTCAATGTGAAAAGTTAAGGACCCTTCTATTGCTGGTTGTATGGTTAGTGCATTTTATGGATTCTCCTGTAAGACTTGCAGTTTTATAGAACAAAATCACGCTATTTCAAAGAGCCTGGTCGGAAAACGGGCCCCAGCGAACGTGAAAAATCACTGCTCAACGTGTCAAATTTCGTTGACTGAAAACCAAACTATTAAACGTTGAGCAAAAAATCGCGAGTTGCAATGCGTTGATTGAAAATAATTAGGTCAAATCCACGTCAACTTTGAAATGATTAAAGTTCGTTTGGCCTAAAAGTTATTTGGGGCGCGATTTTCGACCCGCTGCTTTGAAATGCCGTGCAACATCTATAAAACCACTGATTTTTTTTGTTTGTAATTATCCGTATCATGTGTGAAGAACAATTTCAAAAGCTTGATTGATAACTTAAAAAATATCGTTTTGAGTTTCTGTATAGAACAAAAATTGTTCACTTTTTTGTTATGTAATCACAACTCCCCATAAGTTTTATGTTGATTCGTTCTGACTCATAAAAGGAGGTGCTGGGGGAAGTTGGTAGCTGGCGTCAACGGTTCGTGGGTGTTTAAAGGTTGCGAATTGTCTATTACTGGATGCATTAAGCAAATAAGATCCTGGAACACTCTGAAGAAACTTACTAATTGTAATGATCTAAAAATAATTGCTTCCCCTTTTTTCCGCCTACGAAATGATTGTGGTAGTTTCGAAAACCGTTTTTAACAACGACGCATGCCCTACAGTAACCCGTGTCTTACCGACAGCTGTCTGTCAATGAAGATGACTGCGTTAATTGGGTGGGGAGGCTGTGAGATTGTAAACGTAGAGAGGTGGAATCAGTCTTCACGGAGAACCGAGAACTTGTTAAAATTCAAATAGGAATGTAACATTTTCTGCCGAATAGAGAGCGTTGGAGAATAATAGCTTCGAGTCCGAGCAGGCTATCCGGCTTAATGATCCCTGGTGAATTTATTTTTCCGAAAAGAGGATAAGAATCCAGGAATGGTGCTTCGAAGTAGTATAACACAAGAATATAAGCTCGGGAGTCATTTCCAGATATGGGATTTTTTTTGAATTCCTAAATTTTCAGTATATCGGAATTAGGACGCATTAAATGTAGGAAAGAGGGAAATCAAAATTTCTCACGATAGTCGTGTGAAAAGAGTTGTTTCTTATACATAGTTATTGTTTTTTCCCTAGACAGTATGAGTGTCTAGGGTCCATCACGCGCGGTGACAATATGTAGTTACCGTAAACATATAATGATCCAAATTTTGAGCCAATCTCGGTTTCTGTAAAAGATATCAACAAGTGAAAAAATATTTTGATATTATGATAAGCATTCTGTCAGTTGACGACTTTTAGATATATTTCATAGGAACCGAGATATGCGGGGTTAAAGTTGAAAGTTTGGAGTGGAGGGGTTAAAGTATGTACGGAAATTCAATGAGATTGCAGATGGTTTTTCTAGGGGCTGATATGATTGCTACCGTACCTCACTTACTGTAACCTACAGTACCGGAAAAACACTCCTATTATAAACACTCAACTTTGAGAATACCTTATTTAGAATTTTTATAAAATCTTTCAGACCATTGAACTCTTCTAGTTTGCTCACTTGGAGCATTAACTCTGATTTTTTAAACATTTTATGTATTGCACTAACTTTCAAATAAACAGTTGCCACTCTTCTTTTTTATACTTCCTGATGAGCATAACCAAACCTAACTTTCCGTTATACTTCCCTGTAGTTCTCGAAAGAGTTGCAGTTTTCCCTCATTTCTTCTCACTTCTTTCTCTTTCTACACTCTTTCCACTTCTTTCGTTCTCATTCACTCGTTCATAAATACATTGCGAGAAAAAAGGAGTGGAATAAAATGAATGGGTGTGTTGGTGCCCTCGAAGGCCTGTCATCATCTCGTGAGATGGATTTGGGGGAGGATAAGAAGAAAAGGAAGGGAAAAGGGCGGGAGTTACGGTAGACAAAAAAGGAATACATTACTTCATTGAAGTTAGGTCAGGTAATATGAACAGAAAGAACACATAATCAGTAATGTTTCAGACTGAACTTCACGGTTGCGAAGTTCTTAAAAGTATACAACTTGATTATGATTTAGAAGAGACTTCTGGTCACACTGTCTGGAATTTCGTTCTTATGATCCTTCAGTTGTGCGCGTGACTCATATGTGGCAATAGCAACCTGAAATCAGTAGAATGCTTTAATTAGGTGATTAGGGTTCACTCACTCTCTGTCTGAACTCGTGCTGAAACTCTCCCCGAAGTCCGATGTAATACACTTTCGTCTCATCCTCTCCGAAATTCGCAGACACCAGAATTGAAAGATGGTGGATGTTTCCAAACTTTGATGCTTTGAGAGGATAATCCACTAGTCCACGTGGATCCTGTTTCAGATCAATCTCCTGGTCGGCCTCGATACTACAATCATCGAATGCCATCGCATCTCGATCTTTGAATAAACGAATTTTGGCAGGATGTGATCCATCTTCGTCTCCGATTATCGAAAGACCAGTGATACGAACATGACCTGTGAACGGAATATTGAACAGAAGCTCGTGGTCACAATCACTTTCGACGAATTCGGTTCTGAAAACATGTATAGTTCTCGTGCTATACAAGTAGACTCGGGTCAGTATCGTTTGGTCAGCCGCCAATTCGGCCCGTTAGTACTATTGACAGATAGAAAGACAGCTGTCACCAATTTCACTTCAAACTACTTGTTTTACACTTGCAAACGGAAATAAGAGGTGATTGAGTGGTGAAAGATCAGCTGGTCCGTTGAGAATTCAATCATAAGCTAACTGTGGCGTTCATCCAAACCCCCAACATTGAGCTTAATTATCGATTCCTGTGAAAGATATCGAAAATCTGTCAACTGGTAAAATGTTGGTGATTTCATGAAAAACAATTTATCAGTTGACAGATTTTTGATATCTTTCACAGGAATCGAGATAATTGAGCTCAAGGTTTGGGTGAGATTTTATTAGTGGAATTCAGCCGTCTAGGACACACCTGTCATCTCGATTTTCCATCACTTTGAAAACTTTCTTTCCTGCTCCATCAATTGATTCATTGAGAGTTGTAACCTGAAACAGTTCATTCAGTTCAGCTGGTCTTTTTTTCCAAATCTTCTGATTACGACGAGAGGAATAAAAAGATCTAACCCTTACCTTGTCTAGGTCAATATAGCTGACCATATCATATCGATGAACGTCGTCTCCAGAACCTTCTGGAATGTGCTCTGAGGCACAGTTATGCGAGTGTCCATGAGAGCACATTTTTTTCTTGTTTTTTTTTTCTACAAGAACACTTCTAGCTGCTTTTCAGGAAACCATCTCTAAAAAGTATCGGCAATTTTTCAAACCATTCGGAAGACCTTGGCAGAGACTCGAAACGAAAACAATTTAATTGTGAAATGGGAAAACATTTTCTAAGGGAGATAGTTTACATATATTTAGATAAGTTGTTGAAGATAATTTAATACTGGGGGAAAAGAAAGTAAGTAAAACAGTAGAAGAGAAACATTGAGATTTCGTGAGAAGAGGAGGGAAAGAAAGAAAGATGAGTGATAATAACAAAATCTGTAGAAATTAAGCAATTTTAGGAAAAAAAGAGACTATGTATGGTTGACAGATGAAAGTTATCCGTAATCGAGATAAGAAATAGTTCAGAGGGAAAAAAGTCAGAAAAGAGCAAATGACATAAATATGAAAAGAAAAAAAACATTATGGCGTCATCGAGTTATTATGCATTGGTAGGGTAGCAAAAACAGGGGTCCAATAAGTTACAAGATATTTACAACGCAAGAACTTTAAAATCGTAGGTTCCAAAACCATCATGTTCAGAACACATTAAAATAAGTGCGATTTTCAAAGTGCCCTTGTTGGCATAAATACTACAAAAATGCAATGAACAAAATGAGATCCTAAGATAGAACTGCAGGATGTTCGAACACAATATATTCAGCGGATCGCGCCCGTTTCGGAAGAGACGATAACTGAACTTTGTCCTCAAATACTCGACTCAGCGCCTGGAACAAAATTAGCGATATTTCTAATTGACTTCCAGAAATGATGAATCACAAAAACGTACCTCTAATTTTTGCGCCCTCTCTTTGTATAATGGTTGAATAGGCAATTGTAAATCATTTGCAAGAGCTAGAGTTCGGAGATCAAAGTAATATTTAGCGTATACAGATGATGGTACTTCAATGTTGAAATCTAGGCACTCCAAGAAGCGTCGTTCTAGCTCATTCCTGAAAAACCAGTGTTTAGAGAGGCTTTAATGATTTTTTTTGACTCACATATCATCAACGTTCGTATCTCTTAAAATTTGGCAGTAATCCACATTCCATACCGCTTGATCATCCCAAACTTTGGAAGCGAGCATGATGGAACCAAGTACTACACGTCGCCAGTTTGAAGGGCATAAATCCATCTCTGCATAATTGAGTAAACGTTCAATGTAAACCTGAAATCACAAATTATTTGGCTTCATTCACAGGATCAATTACCAAAGTGATTATTGCACATTCGGCAGTGAGTTGCGCTGAGCTGAACAGATTTCTCACGAATCGATATATATTTCTATGATCTGGGTCGCGAGTCATTTGTTCTGGCGGAATAGGATCTCTCTGAAAAAAATTCCAGCGATATGACAATTGGATTCTAACAGATAAATTACTCACAAAAATTGGATGTAGTCGTTCTTCAAAAATCTCCATCAGCCGTTCGTGACCACGATTTTTTCGGTTCGAGATGTGATAATATATAGCCAACGAAATGCATTTGATTGTGTTTTTGAGATGAGGTTGACTGACTGTTGAGTCGTCTAAAGTTTTGAAATGATTCACATAGAATTTATAAAGAATACATACCTATATAAATTGTGCTGCAACTACTGGACTTCCGCAAACTTCTTGGTAAAACACCAGGATGGTGTCCGCCAGCAGCTAGCGCATCAAGCATATAGCAAGAACGTCGGTTGTCTTTTACTGTAAAACTATTAATTAGTGCCAATTCTTCGTTTTCACAGATTTTTTTCAGATTTAGAAGCAGACGCAATAACATACATTTCATTTCACTTTTACTTCTCTCCATGAACGTCGGACGGGCCGTTGGGTTTGTTGATGGATCTTCCTCATATCCTGAGAGAATTTTTTATAATATCTTTTTCTAATTCAAAAAAATAAACCTTCTGCCACCTCTCGTTCGCTGATGTGTGGTAAGAAGTTTGTCGATGTCTCATCTCGTGGGAACACTTGATTAACGTACTGGAACTAACATAGAAAGATTAACAGGTTACTTTTTAAAAATTTTTGTTATTTTTTCAGAGGTTTTCTATATTAAAATATATCCAAAGTGATCAGACCATTATTTCTTAGTTCTATTTCGCAACAGTTTTTTTTCCGAGCACCTTTTTGAGCTTCACTCTTTTTTTGAATGTTTTTTTTTTCCTTTTTGAGCTTCACTCTTTTTTTGAATGCGGGCGGCTTCCCGGTCAATTTTCGAGGCCTTGCCCCAGAAACACCACGGTAGTAAAATAAACTTATTTCTGTGAATTCAATGGGATTTTCTGGAAAAATTTAGATGTCTTGGTATAAAAATGATCATCGCTAGCATCTCTAGAATCTGTTTTTCATCGAAAAACCGAACTTAATTGCGAAAGTAGCTCGAACGAGGCAAAAGTCTAAAATATTGCGTTTTTGCCGCACTTTTTCGTAGATCAAAAAAGCGACGACATACCTCGATTTTGCGATTGACATACCTCGACTTGATTAGTTCTAATATACTGTCCATCATTATTATACGATTTGTCCTCCCCGCTAGACGACCTCGTTCGCAAACAACAAGATGAATTTCCCATCGTCTGTAATCATTCAATTTAGTAATACAGCGTTTAAAGAATAGAAAACAAAAAAATCTTACAAAAACTCTGGATATTGAACAACTTCGACTATTGCATTAGGAGGGATATAAACCGAGATGAGCAGGCCCTGAAAATTAATGGAAAATCAATACTTTGACTTGTATGAAGAGAAAGCGGCGGAAAAAAGCGCTAGCATCATTTTGAGAAATAGACATAGATTTTGCGAAAACTAATTGAGAACTCAAAACATAAGCCATAAATCTAATGAAAATTTATTGCTTCCTGACAAATCGCAAGAAGAACCGTGGGCGGGGCTTAGAAAAGGGGGAGGAGCCGAGAACGCAAGTCGCCGCACGGTTTCGCATGTCCACGATTTACTCCGCGTTTTAAGCACATTTTCAGTAAAAATTTTCCGGAAAACTTCGTTTCATTTAAACAAGGATTCTTTTGACCTGAATTGCAAAGTCTAAATGTATCTAGCCAATTTGTAAACTGTTGTTTATCATTTTATCTTTGCTTTCAGAATGCAGTGGTTTCCCGGAGACGTGACGACGGCTATCCAGGTTTCACGCAAGAATCTAGCTTTGCTAATTGTCTATATTACTACTGATTCTGAAGACGGACGGATTTTTGACGAGTTCTGGACCCATATCGATACTTCCAATCTTCTGTGTCCAGTCGTTGGAATCAAGCTGGTAGCCGGTGAGACCGCTGCAGCTCAGTTTGCGGATATTTGTAAGTCTTTCGAAACATCTTTTTGCGGTTAAGTGTTTGAAGATATCGATTTTCAGACCCTACTCCAATCGTGCCAGCCGCATATCTTATCGATCAAAACGGGAAACCTTTGGAAGTCATCACAACTCTCGTGGGCAAAACTTTCGACCAATTTCGTTCGAAATTCGACAAAGCAACGGCACAGTTTATCAATGGGTTTCCAAAGTCAGAAAATCCTGTTTCTCAATCAAACGTGAATCGTCTTGCCTCCGCTCCAGCACCAGTGTCTGTCGCAATCCAACCACCCAACACATCAACATCCCAAGAAATGACTTCAGAGCTTGCCGAAAAAGTAGCTCGAGCAAAAGCCCTATTGGAGCAGAAGAAACTGAAGGATGCTGAAAAGAAGCGTGAATCGGATAAGCAAATGAAGGAAGAACTGACGAAAGCACGAGAAGCGAAACAGGATAGAGACGACAAAGCACTTATGGAAGCAGCAAAACAGAGAAAAAAGGAGAAAATGGAGACTGAAAAGGAAAAAGAACGAATATTGGCTCAAATCAAGGCAGATAGGTAAGGAAATACAAATAAATGCTGTTTGAAAAAGATTGTATGTTTTAGAGAAGACTCCAAAAAACGTTTTGGAAAGACGAGTAATTCTTCAAACGATGCCAGCAAGGCTGACTCGAAGGAAAACTCCGTAATTGGGAAGGCAGTACCATCGGATAGGTAGAGTTTTTTTTTCCCACCAGAATAATAGTTTCCACAGTTTTCAGGTGTCGTTTACAAGTCCGTCTTCCCGATGGCTTTACTTTTGTGGAGGAGTTTCCATCGAATGATGTTCTTAATTCTCTCGTTGAAATAATTCGTCAAAAACCGTTTATGTCCGGGACTAGTTTCGAAATTCAGCAGCCATATCCACGCCGCGTCTTTAGCACCGATGATTATTCGAAGACATTTCTTGAGAATCAACTGACCCCTTCTTGTGCTCTAGTTGTTGTACAAAAGTCAAGTGGTTCGTCTGGGCTCCGTCCCGGGTCATTATCTGTTACCACACCCAGTATTCCAATTTTTACATGGTTACTGTACCCATTTACGGCTGTTTGGGCCGTAGTTTGTAGCATGTTCGGCTGGAATCCTGATAGCACAAAATCGGATAGCAAGAAATCAGAAAACGGGTCATCGAGTTCTGCAGGACAAGCTTCCCGACGAGGAATGCCAAGAAGTGCTGAAGTTCGCAGAGTAAGTTTCTCATAAAATCTGGGGCAACGAGATTTTCTTTCTTTCAGCGCGGAAATGTGGCGGGACTCGAAAACCCGAATGACGACGACCCAGAAGAGCGAGCCAGTTTCAATGGAAACTCTACCCAATTCATGTAAAAATCTAATTCAATTAAGTCCTTGTGATGCCCGTTTCCAGTCCGAAACTCATTCATTCATCAGTTAATTATTTGTCGTTCCATATATATTTCATTCCTGATGTTTTTGATACAATACACAGAATTTAATTTAAATTGTTGACTTTGCTGCTCCTCGAATGTTATAACGAATAGTTATCTGAACGGTTTTCAGTTATTTTATTGATGCAATGCATCTCGGTTTAGATGGCCGATGGGAATGCGGACAGAAGAATAAAATTAGAAATATGCATCGATAACCTCGAATCGGCTGAAAATGCTGTAGCAGGTGGAGCAGATAGACTAGAAGTGTGCTCTTCTCTGCCACTCGGAGGGCTCACGCCTTCTGTAGGTACGATTTTGAAATATTGTTCAAACTAATGTGAAGCGATTAGTTTTCTGCAGGATTCGTTTCAATGCTTCGTTACAAGTATCCAGACATTCCTCTTTACTGCATGATTCGTCAGCGTCCCGGTAATTTTGTTTACACTGAAGACGAAATGACGGCAAATGTGGAGGATGTGGAGTGGTTGAAAAAAGCGGGAGCCGCTGGATTCGTCTTTGGTGCTTTGACAACGTAAGAACTATTTTTGGTATTAGATTCTTAATATCTGATGAATGTAGAGTCTGAAATTGTCTTAGTTTTCAGAGTCGGAACACTGGATAGAGATGCCTGTGAGGCCATTATCGAAACTGCTCGTCCGCATCCTGTCACATTCCATCGCGCTATAGATGTCGCTTATGATTGGAGAAGCTGCCTAGAGGAAGCCATAGAAATTGGATTCAAAGCAGTTCTAACAAGTGGCCAAGAACCGTCCGCACTGGACGGTGTGCATATTATCCGCGAAATGCAAGAGTTGTACAAGAACAAAATTGATATTATCGCTGGATGTGGAGTCAACAGTTCCAATGTTGCAAATTTGGTGGAGTGGACCAAATGTCATTGGTATCATGCATCCGCTTCAGTTGTGAAAAAGAACGTGCCAGTTAATAAAGTTTCAATGGGAAAACAAGACAACCAACCGATGCGTGTGACATCATTAGACGAGGTCAAGATGCTGAAAACGACGATGGGTCCTGCCTAATTATTCATTCATGTCAGATTTCTATTTCATGCTTATGCTTATTTCTAACACTTTTTCGTTAGTTAGCGATCGCGATAGAGATATATTTAATTATGACAAATTTAGAAAAATATGTGTAGCGTTTTTCACTCAAAGGGATCCTGTGATATTTAACTGATTGTATTCTTCCCATTCTATTCAGATTTCTATTTTCTTGTAAATCTGCAATAATATGGGCAATTACTCTTTGACTACACCACTCTTTGACTACACCTACTCTTTGACTCCACATTCTTTTTGACTACAAAGCCTCTTTGACTACATTTATCTCTTTGACTACATTTATCTCTTTGACTACACTTGTCTCTTTGACTACACTTTTTGAAAATTTGAAATTTTCAGCAGTTTTTGTGGGTATTCTTACAGAAAATGAGAAGAATTTAAGCCTAAGCCTATAATTTTAAACAAAAAACTGACAATTACAAAAAACATCAAAGTGAAAAAAAGTACTGAAATTCGAGAAAATCAGCGAAACTATCACTTTTTCGCTGAGATTTCCAAAATTTTATTAGTTTTTGTCCAAATCAAAGGCTTAGGCTGAAACGGTTTGCCGGTAAACAGGTGTTTCAGCTTAAGCCTATAATCTTTATAAAACAAAAAACCAGAAATTCCAAAAAATTCAGTCAAAAAGAACTATAAAACGAAAAAGAGTAGTCAAAGAGACAAGTGTAGTCAAAGAGATAAATGTAGTCAAAGAGACATTGTAGTCAAAGAGAATGTGGAGTCAAAGAGCAGGTGTAGTCAAAGAGTGGTGTAGTCAAAGAGTAATTGCCAATAATATGGGTCTTGCTTACCGTTAGCTGCCATCCTCTCTAATTCATGTGCTCATTTTTTCATATTGGATAATTTAGATCTAATTTCATATACCACCTGGAACATTTGTTCTACCATTTGCTCTACTCTTGTTCTGGCGTTTACTTTATCATCCCTCCTGCATTTTATTTCTCTGGTCACTCTTTTCTTCTCGCTTGTGTGAACTGATAAAGATTTATTTGGGTTATCACTATTACACCCCTTCCAGTCCACAGAGAGACGGGTTTCCACTTCCTTGCATACTTATATATCTCGTTCGCCTTTTTTTCAGACCAGTTTGTAATAATTTCTACATTTTCAGTAATTTGAGCCAACTCAAAATGGCTCAAATATTGGTTCGTAACGGAATACAAGCCGTGGGGGAAGGCCTGACAAGTGTAGTTATTGTTGGCAAGAAAAGTGTATTGCAAGCAGTTTCGTTTGAAGGAAGATTCCAAGAAGTTGCACAAAAGTTCGTAGGAGGTATTCTAGCAAGAGAAAGAGTTAATATTTCCAACTTTTCATTTTCAGACAGCTCATCGTGGACCTCAATGGTCTCTCGTATCAACTCATCGGGACGTCTTCCACTACATTACGAACTAGCTCATCTGATTGCTGTGCCAGACACTGCTTCTCGCGGAAATACTCCAACCAACTCGCATGCTCTATTCAGAGATATGAGATCTGTTAGCTACCCAAGCGACGTCCAGAATGTGCATGTTGTTCTTTTCGCCGAATACTCGGATGTGCTCGCTCATGTGGCCGCTATTGCTCGGACTTTCTGCAAGTTCTCGATGAAAACGTCTGCGACAGAGGCCCGTTCACTGAATGTCAACATTGATGTCGTTTGCGATCAGGTGAGTACGTTTTGTTGTTGCTACTTATTCAATGCAAACTATTAGTAAAGTTCTTCTTCACACCTTTTCGCTTTGATTTATTGATCTGCATGGTTTTATCTTCGGAACTGATAAGTGACAGGCAGCAGACACCATGTGCTCGTCCGCTTTCTGCAAGCCAGGCAATTTGCCTGATTACATCATTCCTGGAGACATTTCAATCGCCTTTTCTGGAAAACGCGGCGCCAATAAAACTGAAAATGTGATAAGACCTCGCTTTACAGAGTGTGACGAAATCGATCTAGACAGACGGTTAAGAAACGTAGTAGAATTATAAAACGAGAGGTTAAATTCAGATTAATTTTGTTAGAGATCTCTTTGACTGATCCTCGAAATTTAAAGTCTGAATTTGCAGTTCACCAGCCAAGATGCTCATTTCCTGACTGACCTCTCCGAATCCGTTCGCGAAACCGCTCGTCTGATCGACACTCCTGCTAACATCTTGACGACTGATGCGCTTGTTGAAGAAGCTGTTAAAGTTGGCCACGCTGTTGGAGCAACTGTATCAGTCATTCGTGGAGAGGACCTTCTTACCGGAGGCTTCGGAGGAATCTATCACGTTGGAAAGGCTGGTCCAACACCTCCAGCGTTTGTAGTATTGTCTCATGAAGTTGCTGGCTCCACCGAGAGCATTGCTCTTGTCGGAAAAGGAGTCGTTTACGATACTGGTGGTCTTCAAATCAAGACCAAGACTGGAATGCCAAGTAAATCTTTTTAAATGTTACTTAGTCCCATTCAAAACTTTCTACAGACATGAAGAGAGACATGGGCGGTGCCGCTGGAATGCTCGAAACTTTCTCTGCTTTGGTTAAGAATGGATTCTCACAGACTCTTCATGTCTGCCTCTGCATTGTTGAAAACAATGTCAGTCCGATTGCAAAGTGAGTGGAAAACTAGACAAGAAAATAGAAAATGACACGTGATTGCAGCAAGCCGGATGACATTATTCAAATGTTGAGTGGGAAAACCGTCGAGATTAACAACACCGATGCTGAAGGTCGTTTGATCCTTGCTGATGGAGTTTTCTATGCTAAGGAAATTCTTAATGCGACCACGATCTTTGATATGGCTACACTGACGGGTGCTCAAGCTTGGCTTTCTGGGCGTATGCATGGAGCTGCTATGACTAACGACGAGGAACTTGAGAATGCGGTACGGAATTCGTTTTTTTTTCGAAATGTTTTTTCCCACTCGGAGATCCCACATATTGTTTCCAACTTACTTAAAACAAATATGAATTTTTCAGATGGTCCGCGCCGGAAAAGCATCTGGAGATCTTGTCGCACCAATGCTATTTGCTCCTGATCTCTTCTACGCTGATCTGAAATCGCCAATCGCAGACATGAGAAATTCGAACCTTGGAAAGATGGAAGGACCACCTTCAGCTGTTGCCGGTCTCTTCATTGGCGCTCATATTAATTTCGGAGAAGGACTTCGCTGGGTTCATCTTGATATTGCTGCTCCAGCTGAATGTGGAGATCGTGGAACTGGCTATGGTCCAGCTCTTTTCTCGAGCCTGCTTGGTAAATACACCAATGTACCCATTCTGAATCAGTAATTTATTTTTCTTTTTATTATGCATTATGCGATAAATCTGGTGTAAAAATATGTATCATTTATGAGGCCTTTTGTAATCGTTAAATTGGAATAAATGGTGAAAATATGTCGCTGATTATCGGAACAGAGGCAATTGGGTTGAATTCTGAGAAGCATTAGGATCACTGACGGTTACGAGCCGACCACACACATCCAGCTAGACATGCGCATAGACAAACAAAGAATCCGATGATGAAGATAACAAGGAAGACACTGGAATGTTATCATTTTGAATGTTTAGTAAATCTTAAAAAAAAACTTACACAACCCAAGTCTCCAATTGAATACAACACTCATAAGGACTGTAGTCACAACAACGCCATCTGTAGAATATATTATCCGCTCCACACCGTCTGAAAATAATTTTACTTTCTAAAGAATATATAATCTGTACACACCCATATCCACCGTAACCCCCACCACCGTATCCACCGGCCATTCCGAGAACTGATCCCAGGATTCCACCATTGCAACTACCGTAACCGCCGTAGTACGACATGATTTTTCTGGAACGCCAGAAATAAGCAAGTTTTAAGAAACGGTATGTTGTAAAAAAGATTCAGAAGAGATAAGAAATTCCTATCGTAAGATCGAAAAATGTCAGTTTTAGATTAATTCTATGAAAGAGAGTTTTTGTGCAATAGCACCTACAAAACGATTTGATTCTATTATTGTACAGAGACTATTCTCGACCGGAAAAGATGACCTCTCTGTGTCCAGAAAGAAGAAGTGTCTGAAGTATCGCACGTTTTGTCAACAATATGAGTAACAAGGGGTTCTGCGCAAAGAGTATTCAGATGATGACACATGTTAATCGAATAGGTGTCATATGGAAGAGAAGTTCGATCAGTTTATTAGCTGTTTGGATTGAAATAGATAATTATTGGGGGAAGAGTTTGGATAACGATTTTCAAGTTTACCTACCGAAAAACCTGTAATAGAAGGGCCTCCCAACTTTAGACTTTGAGCCAATTTTTTCTCGGTTTCTGTCAAAGATATAAAAAAGTCGTCAACTGATAAATTGCTTCTCATAATATCACAAACATTTATCAGTGAACAAGTTTTTGATATCTTGCATAGGAATTGAAATAATTGACCTTAAACTTGCCAGTTTACGGTATTTCCTCTATCTGACCTGCACATATTTTTTCTCTTTTTGTAGCATTTATCTTGATTTAAAAGAAAAGATAGCAGCAGTCTAAACAAGGAAATATGGGTCAAATGGCTAATGGATAGTTGAAAACTATAATAGGGAAAAAACTTGATCGGATTTTCATTAAAAAAATATGGTTCGGAAAAATAATCACTTTTTCGTTAGACATTCTGTACTTGAATGCAAAAGGATGTTTTTGGTGTGATAAAGATAGGTTTTTATTTTTCCATATATGCAAAATTTTACAATTTTATGGGAATCCCCTTTTCAATACAACTATTCTACTCAGTGAATCTTACATACAAAAAAGTGGTCAACTAAAAAAAATAGAGTAATGCTTCTGTTACTGCAAATACACTTTAAACGAAGACCCCTCAACTTTGACCCCATATATCTCAATTTCTATGCAAGATGTCAAAATTGTGTAAACCAACAAAATACTTCTGATATTATGATTAGCAATTTATCAGTTGACAACTTTTTGATATCTTTCATAGGAATTGAGAAAAATTGGCTCAGAGTTAAAAGTTAGTGAGCCCTTCTGTAAAGCCTCTTTGACTACATTTATCTCTTTGACTACACTTGTCTCTTTGACTACACTTTTTGATAATTTGAAATTTTCAGCAGTTTTTGTGGGTATTCTTACAGAAAATGAGAAGAATTTAAGCCTAAGCCTATAATTTTAAACAAAAAACTGACAATTACAAAAAACATCAAAGTGAAAAAAGTACTGAAATTCGAGAAAATCGGCGAAACTATCACTTTTTCGCTGAGATTTCCAAAATTTTATTAGTTTTTGTCCAAATCAAAGGCTTAGGCTGAAACGGTTTGCCGGTAAACAGGTGTTTCAGCTTAAGCCTATAATTTTTATAAGACAAAAAACCAGAAATTCCAAAAAAATTCAGTCAAAAAGAACTATAAAACGAAAAAGAGTAGTCAAAGAGACTTTGTAGTCAAAGAGACAAGTGTAGTCAAAGAGATAAATGTAGTCAAAGAGACATTGTAGTCAAAGAGAATGTGGAGTCAAAGAGCAGGTGTAGTCAAAGAGTGGTTTAGTCAAAGAGTAATTGCCAATAATATGGGTCTTGCTTACCGTTAGCTGCCATCCTCTCTAATTCATGTGCTCATTTTTTCATATTGGATAATTTAGATCTAATTTCATATACCACCTGGAACATTTGTTCTACCATTTGCTCTACTCTTGTTCTGGCGTTTACTTTATCATCCCTCCTGCATTTTATTTCTCTGGTCACTCTTTTCTTCTCACTTGTGTGAACTGATAAAGATTTATTTGGGTTATCACTATTACACCCCTTCCAGTCCATAGAGAGACGGGTTTCCACTTCCTTGCATACTTATATTGGCAAGAAAAGTGTATTGCAAGCAGTTTCGTTTGAAGGAAGATTCCAAGAAGTTGCACAAAAGTTCGTAGGAGGTATTCTAGCAAGAGAAAGAGTTAATATTTCCAACTTTTCATTTATCTCGTTCGCCTTTTTTTCAGACCAGTTTGTAATAATTTCTACATTTTCAGTAATTTGAGCCAACTCAAAATGGCTCAAATATTGGTTCGTAACGGAATACAAGCCGTGGGGGAAGGCCTGACAAGTGTAGTTATACAGACACCCTAATCTACATAGAATCATGGATAAAATGATAGTCAAACCATTACAATAGTTTCAGAATCAGGAAGAAAAAAATAAATGAGGCGGACATTTTTTGAAGTTCCGGTAACTTTTTTCCAAAAACATGAAAATAGAATAAATGTCGAATTTCCAGAAAACATTCGAATTGTACACAAACATTGATCACTGGAAACCGACGCAAATATGATGCATATATGACTGTTCTCCCATTCTCGAAAAACCAATTTCTCGCTTCGTTGTCTCCTTTTCTCTTTTCTCCCCGCCCATGTTTTCTCTGGTACAAATATGAATCGTCATCTTCTGGTTGTATACAAGAAATTGAACGAATTTTTTGAATGGTCATCTGGAAAAACGAGGAAAGGCACACCCTGGAAATTTTAACAACTCCGAGGAATACTTTAAAATGTGTGTTTAAGAGGAAAATAGCAAAAACTAGAAGAAGAGGTGTGGAAGAGTAGTGGACAATTCTTGTTTATTTTTTGAAGGTAAAAACGTAAAGATGTTTTAGAAAATGGAATGAAAAAGGGCTTGAGACTGTAAAACTGAAACTCGGAGAAAACCAATTTCAGGATATTTTCAGTGGAAATTTAGCAGTTTCATTACCGTATTTCCTCTAATCGAAGCATTCCCAAACCGTCAACTTTGAACTCAATCATCTCGGTTCCCATAAAAGATATCAAAAATATGTCAATAGAAGAAATATTGGTGATATTATGATAAATAATTTATTGGTTGACAGTTTCGGTATCTTTCACAGGAGTCCAGATAATTGAGCTCAAAGTAGAAGGTTTGGTCGACTGTTTTTTTATAGGTCAGAGTCTCTGAATTATAAAGTGTTTTTTGAAAGTACATTATTTCTTTTATTCACTAAAATGTGATCAATTCATGGCAAAAAAAGGCCAAAAAATCAAAAATTCCAGATCATGTCAATTTTCTGTATTTGAAAAATTAACAATTGCCGATTCGTATGAAACTTTCTGGATGTATGAACACAAAAGTTTAGCCCCACTTTTATAATTTACAAACTTTCTGCACATAGTTAACTAGATACAGTGGCGAACGTTAGTGAGTGTCACTCTATACTTTTGTTCATAACTTTTCTCAAACTTGTCCAATAATCAAAAACTTTTTTTTTAATGTAGCTGAATTTTCAACAAAACGTTATATAAGTTTTTTGAAACTCAATCAATTTTTGTGTCTCCTGAATCTTCACAGATCGTCACGATGACTCCGGAAGAAAAAAAAATTTCCGTCAGGGTTTTTTAAAGATTGGCTTTTTAATGAAAAATGTTTAATTTAGATCAAATATATACCAGAAAAAATTTGAAGCGGGTTGGATCACTTGCTCTTGACAAGGGAACGACAACACCTCGTCAGTTTGGATTTTGATGAAAATTTCAGAATATTGCACTGAAAACGCGCTTTTTGGTATTGAAACTGATATAACTCTGCTGAAATTGGCGAGCGTGTTCTTAAATTTTCAGGGATGTCTAGATAGGCTATCCTTGGCATATACTGAAAATTTCATCAAAATCCAAACTGACAAGGTGCTGTGATTCCCTTGTGAGATGTACTCACTGGAGCATGAAAAGTATGGTTCAGGAGTTTGGCTATAACTCGGCTTTAAATGATCTAAATTTAATCAATTTTTGAAAGAATGTGTGTCTTTAAAGGTGGGGGGACAGGAGATTTTTCGTAGTTTTTTTGTAGCTAGAGTATGCATTCTACCGTCACGGTGTACAACGCTTAATGTCACTCTGCGTACAGCTGTCGTCCTCGCCTTTATGTATGCAAACGGGCGTGCGCTTTCTCTTTGCCCGCGTGGCTCAGTCGGTAGCGGCGCAGCACCCTCAATCATCGCCCTCACAAGTTCAACTCCTCGAGGGGCATCTTTGAACGGAATTTCGAGAACATTATTTTTTTCATGTCCCCCCACCTTTAAATGCTTCACTATATACATACAAAACTTTGTATTTTGGGAATAAAAAATGTTTCATAATTTTTTCATTTTTATGTACCGAAGACAAGCTATGTATTATGAAAAAAGTTTTATTTCATAAATACAAAGTTTTGTATGTATAATATAAAACAATTAAAGACACGCATTCTCTGAAAATTTGAGTAAATTTGGATCATTTTGAGCCGAGTTATAGCTAAACTTCTGAACCATACCTTTTATGCTCCAGTGAGCACATCTCAAGAGCAAGTGTTCCAAACCGCTCCAAAATTTTTTTGCTATATATTTGATCTACACCAAACATTTTTCATTACAAAGCCAATCTTTTAGAAAATTCTTACGGAAATTTGTTTTTCTTCTGTAGTCATCGTCACGTTTGTGAAGATTCAGAAGACACAAAAGTTGATTGAGTTTCAAAAAACTTATATGATGTTTTGCTTGAAATTCAGTTACATTTAACAAAAAAGTTTTCAATTATTGGACAAGTTTGAGCAAAGTCATGAACAAAAGTATAGAGTGACACTCACTAACGTTCGCCACTGTATAATACTGTAAACAGTCAAATGGAAGTGCGCTTTATACACTCTCACTTTGATTATCTCGATTTTGGTGAAAGATATCACAAATCTGTCAACAGAGAATTTATTGATAATGTTATGATAAATGGTTTATCAGTTGACAAATCGTTTAAATTTTTCACAGGAAACCAGATAATTGAGCTCAATTTTGACGATTTAAATGGGCTTTAATGATGAAATACGGTACCTGAAAAAAAAAAACATTTTTGGTATTTTCAGAAATTTTCAAAGTTGATTTGGCTGGTTTTGTTCTGTTCATTTCAGAAGAATGATATGGAGGCCACCTACATTTATGAGCATTTATCAGGCCTAGGTTCTAAAAGTTGCCCTAATAGTGTTTTCATTGGAAGGCATTTCTTTCTTTCAATTTCACGTACCCCTTACGGAACCCGATTTCACTGCCCTTCCAAATTTCAAAAACCAAAAAACTCTTCACTTTTCGAAATCTAACGTTTTGAAAGAGCGATTATCGTTCTGCTCACATTGACTAAAACACTCGATGGCCCCGTCTAACTCAAAAAATAACAAAGAGGATGTGAGTGGAACTAAAATTTATAAATTTCCGTTTCATGTATTTTCAGATTGCCAGTGATGGCTCCTCTGCCTTCTCTACTGGTACATCTCTTTCTTCTTATGATGGCGGATCTGAATCGTCTTCTTACTCAACGGCATCATCTCGTTCTCCCAGTCATCTCTCTCGTCGTGACTCTTTCTATTCCGCGTCTCCATCTACTAACAGCTCCCTCGGCTACAGAAGACATCGTTCTCCGGAATCTCGTAGCCATTCTTCTCATCGTTCTGGATCCAGTGTCGCTTCTGATGTCAGTCGCAAGAGTATTCTTAAAAATAGAATGCCCACGAGAAGACGTTCTGTATCGAGAAAAAGCAAAATGTCTCCGAAAAGAAAGTCTACGATTCGTCCAGTTGGAAATTTCGCAATGATCAAGAATCCAGCCATCAAGAATCAAGGTGAAAAAGAATTCAGAAATCAACAACTAATTTCTGATTTTTAAGTTCGTGGATTCCTCAACAGCTATTCACAATCGTCGGATTTCGAGGCTTTCTCTCTTTCCGTCGACGGAATTCCATTCGTTGCTCTTTCTCTTCTCAGTGCTGATGAGGCTCTTCTTGACAGATTCAAGCCACAACCTCCGACTCCGATGAAGAAACATGTTCCAGGTAAATTATGATTCTGATATCAGAACATTTAAAATCAGATGCAATGAAATAGAATTTCAGGAGTGAACAACCCTCGGAAACGTCTTCAACCTCACCGATCGACATCCTCTTCAAGTTCGAAACAAGTTCGTTTTACTGATGAAGGAGCTTCTACTTCTGCTCCTAAAAAATCTAAAAAGTCATTGTCGAATGAAGAAATTCACGAGCTTGGCCAGAAAGTATCCGATGCAATGCGTTAGTTTCAGATAATTTGATTCCAGTTCATGATTAATATTTTCAGTGGAAACCGATCGTCAATACGATGATTTGTGGAAGGATCGAAAGGATTGAGAGGAGGTATCCGACTACTGTGGAATTGAACTTTTTCTATTAAACGAATGAATGAGATTACATATAAAAACCCGACGACCGATTAAAAAAATATTTAATTTTTCAATGTTTCAATTGGTCTTAATTTTTTTTTTTCATCCAAACTGAGAAAACATAATTTTGTTGTGCGTATTCTGTCAAGAGCTTCACAATGAGTATACTTGTGACCTACTTTTCTTGAATTTGATTTTTTCGGGGTCGATGCGCCTTTAAACCCAAGATCTAAAAATGGGCGGAGCCTAGTCGTGTTTATACTCTTTTTGAAGCACTTGATGAGCGAATTAAAAATTTCAAAACCAGACTTCAAAATTGGGATTTAGAAGGGAGTTATAAAAAATTTCGTTCACATTGGCTATCTGCATTCTTTATATGGTACTTGCACTAATTTTCAGAAGATTCAATAATAGAAACATTTCCACGAGTGGTGGCAGAAAGAACGATCTCATTTTTTAACGAAAACTTTAAAATTCATTTCGAATCAATATCCATTCTAGATGGGTCTTGTTGCAAGCGTTGTAGCCCCGACTGTTTCTAATACTGTACGTACGTTTTCTTGTCACAAAATTTTTGAAAATCTCAATACTCAACTTTCAGATTAGTTCTCGAATTCTTCTCGGTCCTGAGACTCCTGCTAAAGATCCAAAGTCTGCGGAAAACGTCTCGAAATTTGATAATCTAACCAGTCCGATTTCTGGCGAATTGGGACCTTCTCCTGGAAACAAACCGTCTCCAAATCCACTGGCTGGAGCTCCGATGATTCGTCCGCCGAGGGATACGGTAGGTTTTACAAGAATTTTATGAACATTTCAATATTTTCTGAAGTCGGAAAACTTAGGTGTAAAATTCTTACTTCGGGTCACTGGCATAGTAGAATTTGCAAGTTTCAAAGTGGCTGAAGGATTCCTAACTTCTTGTTGGTTTCATCTTGTCATGTTAATTGATGGGATTTCAGATATCAAAAGCTCCTGATAATTCCGTTTACGACACTTTGTCAATGACGCCAGAAATGGATTGGAACAAGAAACAAACGATCAAAAGTAGCAACAAATGAATTCTGAACTGATTTTTTTAAAATGTGAAATAAATTTTATAGTGCAACAAATTTTCCCATTAAGGGTAACTAGGCTTTGGGAAGAATACGTATACCCCTTCTAATATCCTTCTTCACATGCAAACTGCTCCTTCACCTAGTCCATTTACAGTTCCAATATTGATTATACAGTCAATACCACCTGCCTATTCCATACATCCAGGTTTACTTCACATAGGCCACGCCCACCAACTCACCCCGGAACCATCACCTCATTTAGTTCATTCATTCTTGAATATCAGTCAACCGGCTAATCTTATTCTCTATCATCCTATTCCATTCACTATGCCAGCTAGTACCTCTTCTTCTTCTACCATGTCCACTATCCCAGGGTTGCAATCTGACGGGCTAGCCGGCGGGCCGGGCCGGCCCGAGG